GGCGATATTCTATCTCACTGACACAATTAGTAAACTAAGACAGGGCGATATTCTATCTCACTGACACAATTAGTAAACTAAGACAGGGCGATATTCTATCTCACTGACACAATTAGTAAACTAAGACAGGATGACAATATATCTCACTGACACAATTAGTAAACTAAGACAGGGTGATATTCTAAATCACTGGCACAAATAGTAAACTAAGACATGGTAACAATATATCTCACTGACACAACTAGTAAACAAAGACAAGCTGACAATATATCTCACTGACACAATTAGTGAATTAAGACAGGGTGATATTCTATCTCACTGACAAAATTAGTAACTTTAGACAAACTGGCAATATATCTCACTGACACAATTAGTAAACTAAGACAGGGTGATATTCTATCTCACTGACACAATTAGTAAACTAGGACATGGTGATATGCTATCTCACTGACACAATTATTAAACTAAGACAGGGTGATACTCTATCTCACTGACCAAAATTAGTAAACTAACAGAGGCTGGCCAATTTAAGTTTTTGTTAAAGGGGAAGCAACACTTTTTATTGCGGTAAAGTTCCTCAATTCAATTTTATTCATAGATTAAGCCCCTTTGCTTTTCTTGGATCTATGCATAGGCTGGAATACTCATTAAATTTTGGGTTTTATCAAGTTTTATTTACTTCTATTTACAGTGATTCAATTTACAGTGATTCAATTTACAGGGATTCAATTTACAGGGTTTCAATTTACAGGGATTCAATTTACAGGGATTCAATTTACAGGGATTCAATTTACAGGGATTCAATTTACAGTGATTCAATTTACAGGGATTCAATTTACAGTGATCCAATTTACAGGGATTCAATTTACAGGGATTCAATTTACAGGGATTCAATTTACAGGGATTCAATTTACAGGGATTCAATTTACAGGGATTCAATTTCTAATACTCAGTAGGACGATGGTACAGCAGGATATTGGGGCGGCAGAACAGTGGGAAAGCATCACAGTGGGGCAGTGGGACAGCGGGACA